TTTGGTCATGGTATATAACTTTTCCTTTTACATATCACTGTATTTTACTTGTTAATATTTTGTTAAGAATTTTTGCATCTGAAAAAAAAAGAATTTTTGCATCTGTATTGATGAAGGTTTTCTTTTTGGTCTTTGCCTGGTTTTGTATTTCTGTAATATTAGCTTCATAAAGTAATTTAGGAAATATTCTCCCTTCTTCTGTTTTCTGAAACAGATTGTGTAGGATGGTGTTACTTCTTCCTTAAATGTTTGGTAGAATTCTCCAGTGAAATTATCTGGACTTGGAGATTTCTTTAAGGAGTTTTGACATAAGAATTCAGTGTCCTTAATGGTTGTAGGACTATTCAAATGATCTATTTTGAATCGGGTTAGTTATGATGGTTTGTGGGTTTTTTTTTTTTGAGGAAATGGTCTATTTGGTTTAAGTTCTCACATTTATATATGTCAAATTATTTATAGTATTCTCTTATTATCCTTTTGGTGTCTATAGGGTTTGTAGTGATATGCTGTTTCAATCCTGATGTTGATAATTTGTGTCTTCTTTCATTTTTAATTTGCCAGTCTTACTAGAAGGTAGTTTTATTGATCCTTTATTTATTTCTTTTTTTGGGGGGGGAGAGAGAGAATGAATGGGCGGGGGAGAGGGAGAGAGAGAATCTTAAGCCCGGCATGGAGCCTGATGCAGGGCTCAATCGCATGTACTTGATCTTAGCCAAAAGGCCAAGAAATGACAGGGCTTGATCTCATGACCCTGAGATCATGACCTGAGCCAAAATCAAGAGTCTGATGCTTAACTGAATGAGCCACCCAGGTACCCTAATTTTATTGATCCTTTAAAAGAATGAGGTTTTTTTAAAAATTTATTTTCTATATCATTTTCTGTATTTATGTCATTACTTTCTTCTGTTTACTATTTCCTTCTGTTTTTATTGTGATTCCTTTGTTCTAGGTTCTCACAGTAGAAAGATTATTATTTTAGATTTTTCCTCTTTTCTAATGTATGCATTTATTTAGTGTTATAAATTTCCCTCTCTGCACTGCTTTCGCTGTGTCCCACAAATTTTGATATGTTGTACTTTCATTTTCATTCAGGTGGATGTATTTTTTTTATTTTCCTGGGACTCCTCCTTTGACCCATGCATCATGTAGAAGTGTGTTAGTCACCAAGAATTTTTGAATTTTATATTATCTATTATTGATTTCTAGTTTGATTCCATTGTGATCAGAGAAAACAATGTATGGTTTCAATTTTTTTTACGATTTTATTTTATTTGAGAGAGAGAGAGAGAGCATGAGCAGGGGGAGGAGCAAAGGGAGAGGGAGAAGTGGACTCCCCTCTGAGTAGGGAGCCCGTCACTGCTACCGGGCTGGATGCTAGGACCCTGAGATCATGACCTGAGCCAAAGGCAGACACTTAACCAGCTGAGCCACCCAAGTGCCCTTGATTTCAAGCTTTAAATATTTGTTGAGGATTGTGTTATGGCTCAGGATGTGGTCTTTTTAGACATACATCCTTCGGGCACTTGAATATGTAATCTGTTGTTGGACAGAGTGTACTATAAATAACAGTTAGATCTTGTTGGCTGATGCTGTTGTTGAGTTCTCCTATGTCCTTGATAAATTTTCTGTCTCCTTGTTCCATCCGTTGTTGAAAGAGGGTTGTGGAAATGTCCATGTACGTGTGTAATGTGTCTATTTCTCTTTTCAGTTGTGTAGGCTTTTGTTTCACATACTTTGCAATTCTATTTGGTGTATACACGTTTAGGATTGCCGCGTCTTCCTGGCGGGTGGTCTCTATTATCATGATATAATGTTAATGTTTCTGGTGATTTTTTCCTCGAGGTTTACTTTATCTGGTACTAATCTAGCCACTCCTGCTTTCTTCTGATTCCTGTTTCTGTCCTTTATTTTCAAACTGCTGCTATTACTCTATTTGAGATTAGTTTCTTGTAGGCTCCATTTAGTTGAGTCATATTTTTAAATCCACTCTGCCATTTCCTGTCCTTTAATTGATGAATTTAGACTATTTATATTTTATGTAATTATTGATATTTTGGGCTTAAATCTGCCATTTATTTATTTATTTTTTAAAAAAGACTTTATTTATTTATTTGACAGAGACACAGCAAGAGAGGGAACAGAAGCAGGGGCAGAGGGAGAGGGAGAAGCAGGCTTCCCGCTGAGCAGGGAGCCTGATGTGGGGCTCGATCCCAGGCCCCTGGGATCATGACCTGAGCGGAAGGCAGACACTTAATGACTGAGCCACCCAGGCACCCCTGTTTTCTGTTTGTTTTTATGTTTCCTCAGTGCAATGTTCGGTCTTCAGATCTATTAGATTTTTTTTTTTTTTAAGATTTTTATTTATTTATTTGTCAGAGAGAGAGCACAAGCCGGGGGGAGTGGCAGGCAGAAGGAGAAGCAGGCTCCCCGCTGAGTAGGGAGCCCAACATGGGATTGGATTCCAGGAGCCTGGGATCATGACCTAAGCCGAAGACAGCCGCTTAACCGACTAAGCCACCCAGGCATCCCACATCTATTAGATGCCTGATACCATATTGTTTTTTGCCTAATTGCAAAATTAGTGAATAAAATTCACCAGTGTTCTGTTCAATATTAAATATTCCTGGCATCAGTTCATCTAATGAATCATCCATTCATCCATCCTTTCAGGAGACACTGAACCTCTGCTTTGGGCCAGAAATTGTCTTATGAAACATTACTTTCTCAGATATTTCTCCTCTCTTCCAGTTCTTTAGTGGTGTGTTTTTTGTGGCTGCCATGGGAAATCACCACTACCTGGATGGCCTAAAAACAAAAATTTATTCTCTCACTGTTTTGGAATTTATTCTTTTACTTGTTCTGAAATCAGTATCACCAAGTGGAAATGAAGGTGTCAGCAGGACTCTAGGGGAATCTGTTCTTTGCCTCTTCCAGCTTCTGGTGGTGGTTGGCATTCCCTGGCTAGTGGCAGCATTGTTCCCATCTCTGCTCTGTGATCAGATTCCCTTCTTCTGTTTGGTTTGTCTTCTTCTCTGAGTGTCTCTTTTATTTATTTATTTATTTTTATTTTCATTTTTTTTAAAGATTTTATTTTTTATTATTAAAGATAATAAAGATTTTATTTATTTGACAGAGAGAGACACGGCGAGAGAGGGAAAACAAGCAGGGGGAGTGGGAGAGGGAGAAGCAGGCCTCCCGCGGAGCAGGGAGCCCTATGTGGGGCTCGATTCCAGGACCCTGGGATCATGACCTGAGCCGAAGGCAGACGCTTAACGACTGAGCCACCCAGGCGCCCCTCTGAGTGTCTCTTTTAAAGACACTTGTTATTGGGCTTATAGCCTGCTTGGATAATCCAGGATGATTTCTTGGTCTCAAGATCCTTTGTCAAATTAAGATAACATTCCCAGGTTCCAGGATTAGGATGCAGACATATCTTATGGAGGGCCATCATTTGACCCACTAGAAGTACAGATGATCCTTGAACAACATGGGTTTGAACTGCACGGGTTCGCTTATATGCAAATTTTTTTCAGTAAATACATTACAGTACTGTACATGTATTTTACTCTTATGAATTTATTCATAACATTTTATTTTCTCTAGCTTTATTTGTAAGATTACAGTATGATATATATACAAAATATGTATCAATTAACTGTTTATGTTATCAGTTAGGCTTCCGATCAACAGTAGTTATGTTCTGGGGGAGCTGAAAGTTACATGCAGATTTTTGACTGTGTGGGGGGATGGCACCCCAACCCCATGTTGTTCAAGGGTCACCTATAGTATATGCAACTCTAATTTCCCTTTTTTGATCTTCTTGCCGTCTTGGCGTGGGTCCGTTCTTTCACTCTCTTCTCATTTCCTTTTTGGAAGGAAAGCATGTTGTCTTTTCGAGTATTCACTTTGAGAGCGTCAAGGATGTGAAACGATTGTACTGACCTATATTTCACTGCCATATTGCAACAGGGGAGAAGGCTTTCTTCACAACGGGGCAACTCCATTTAGAATCAGGATATGATTCTTGTTAACAGAACTTATTAAACTCTGAAGCCAATAAATGTAATACCTTAAGAAATTCTTTAAAGAACCATGTTAAGGTCTTATGTACAGATAATCACAAAAGTTCTATTTGAAGTGATAAGTAAAAATAATTTTAGTTAAAATAAATACTATGGTGTCGGCAATTAACATTTAAATTGGTATCAGTTAAGAAAAAGTAGAATTTCCATCTGAGGTGGTGCCACATTGACTAGCATCTTTTAAATATATGTTTCAAGTATGTGCACATGTCGCTTAGCTAATGCTTTCAAACAAAGACTTTTCTGTATGGAAATAGTTTTTCAGAAGAATCTGAACACCTCTACCAAGGTAGTTAGGCCCCTAGAGTGTCACTGAGATTGTTTCGGGAAAGCTTTACTGACCTAATGAATGTTATATCAAAAAGGTACCATGTAAATATACCTCACTGACCTTTGAGGATAATGAATATATCTTTAAGAAGTTTCTGGCAACTTTTAGAGTCCAGCTAGTGCAACAGTGGTTTCATTGTACCAGAAGAAAGTTTATGAGTCTGTGGTAAGTCGATTTTGTTGCTGTCCCTGCTGTTGTTATGGTTATTAATATTTTACCATAGTGAAATTTTACAACATCTATATATTTTTTTATAAAGTACAGTAAACTGGCAGGTCACAGGAAAAAATGAGGTAGAGTTTTATAGGAAGTATTTAAAAATCGCCTTGAGACTTTTAGACTTAAGACATGTATGTAGAGCATCTTGTTTTAGCGGAAGCATGATTCATATCTTCATGCATTTGTTATAAGATTTACTTAATGAAATTTCAGGTCTGGTTTTATTTTTATATCTAAGTGATGTGTTTAAAGTTTAAAACTTTGTCAGATGTCTGTGAGCATTTATCATTAAAATTCCCTGCTTTTTATAGTTGTAAACTAGGCACTCGGCTTGTATACAAATGTTAAATTTGTGTTTTCTTTGTAAGTGCTGGCCAAGATATCCAAGGAACAAGTGTGATTGCAAATCTTCCATTTTTGATGCGACAGAATCCTGCTGAGACACTTCGGAGAGTCTTGCCGAAAGTCAGAGTAAGTTGGTGTGAAATAAGATTTGAATTTACCATTTTCCCAGTAGCATGTTGTCATTATCAGGAGGAGATGTCAGAGTTTTGGATGGCTGATCTTTTGTACCTAATTGTGGAGTGGAGGAAGTATTATAATACACATTTTGAGTTATAATGAAAATATATAGGAAAATTGAAAATGGGAAAAATCCAGATGTTAAGTTGTAAATATTTCTTTAGTCATTTTCTCAGTAGAGACATTTTGTTTTTAAAAAAGATTTGTTTGTTTTAGAGAGAGAGTGGGCATGCACAGGGGGAGGGAGGAGGGACAGAGGCAGAGGGAGAGAGAGTCTCAAGCAGACTCCTTGCCAAGTGTGGAGCCCGACAGGGGGGCCCCATGGGATGACCCTGAGATCGCGACCTGAGCCTAAACCAAGAGTTGGACGCTTCATTGACTCACCACCCAGGTGCCCCAAGACATTTTATTTAATAAAGTTAGCTTTTCAGTAGCTCAAAAAAAAAAATCATCTTCCTTAGTCTTATGAAATCATAGCTATCTTATTTGGTATTCTGTTGATTTAAATTTATTTTAATAGTATTTCTACAACACTGATAATTTAATTAATATTCCTAATAATCACCCTCTAGTGACTTCTAAAGAATCACCAAATAAAGATTGAATTGCCATCACAGTTTTAGTTTTATATTTATTTATTGATTCCTAAATTCCTTCAGAATTAGTTTTCCTGCTTTAAACAAAAATCTTTGATTTATTAGAACATTCTTTTCTGGTATTTAATATTTATTGATTATTAATATATAATATTAAATATTTGATACATAGTATTTGTTATTTATCTGTGGCTGTGTGCAGAGTGTTGTTTTTATTGTAAGAACTTGAATGAGCAAAACAGACAACAGCTTATGTGTCCTCAGGGAGCTTACCTACTATTTAGGGTCAGGGAGGTTACATACTAATGGGGACTATGCTGATAGTGAGTTTTGTATACTTGCTTTGACTTTCTGGTTGGTTATAGCTTGTTCATAATTTTTTATTAATTTATATGTGTTTAAAAACTATAAATGTGTTCTTGAGTTTCATTTTTAAAGACATACACATCATGGTTCTGGTCGCTATGATTTAGGTCAGGGATATAACATGTTATTTTTACAAGATGCCCACATTTCTGTGCAGGCATTATGAATTTCTTTTTCCTGGTTACAATAGTGAATTGAGAAAATGTTTATTTTGGCTTTGCATGTGATTCAAAAGTGAATCCAGTTTTCATAGCTCTTTTCCCCAGAATCACGCTTGTATTTTCAATGGAATTAAGTCTCCACCATCCAGGTTTAATTTCACATTCAATTTCAGTGATAGTAACTGACCTAAGCTTCTTGGCATGACACCTGGAAGTGCCAGTTAAGTGATAGTAGAAGGGAACAAGTGGTTAAGTCTCCTTGACTAAGGAATTATTGTAGGTAAGTGAATTTGATTTAAAGCTAAAAATACCGAGCATGCTATACACTCTGTGTTGGAGCAGGCTAAATCTGGTTCATGGACAGCTTACTGAGCATCCACACTTTCTTAAAGCAAAATTAAAAGATGAAGGGTGGAGAATAGTGGCCTTTAGAGGTTTCACAATTATTTTGAAAAAATCCTTTCGTTAATGAGTTCATAATAAAGTCAAGTAATAACTCCTGAAAAATCTCAATTTCATGGGAATGTATAAAGAATATTATACGCTCATATATACAGCATATTTATATAAAGCGTCAAATGTATTTGCTAAAATTATATAACTGAGTTATAGAAGATACGATTTTAATAAGCTTTTAATAAGCTTTTAACTTACCTTAAAAGTTAATCCATAATATAGAAGGTTAACTGAATAAATGGATATAAAGAAAATGTATGCTAATGAATATGTACTAAGGAAGCCTTGATTTAGTGCTAAAAGATTTCAGTCATTTCTTTAATCAACAAACACCATTTATTTAGGACTCTCATTTATTCTGTCTTGTCCTAAAAAAGATACCAAAAGGGGTAGAAGACAGTCCTAGATTAAATTCTATGCAGGATGGCCTAAAGACTATGGAAAACAATTAAAGAACAATCCTAGGAGAGTATTTAATTGTGTGATTCTGACTTTGTGTAAAAATAGTGAAGAATTAAGTATATTGGAAAGACTTTATAGGGGTAATAATAATGACTTTTATAGAGGGTTTAATATATAGTGTGGGCAGCTGAACATTTAAGGAGCTCCATTTCAAATTATAAAACCTATGTTATGTGCAAATCATTTTTAAATCACCATATTCAGATATTGTGAAGATTTATTGGTACTCATAGCTAGCACCTTCTTCAGTTCTGCCTTGCCTCTGTGAATGGTTACATTCAAGTGATAAAACTGTGACAAGAATCACACATAGCCACTTTATTCTCTTTTGCCATGGCCATAATTCCTTAGTTGATTTTATATAAAAAAAGCAATCTTGTATCCTCAAGTGAGCATTTAGTAATAATGACATTCTCATTCCTGCATGAATATTGACTGAGCCAGCCACTGTTGTAAGCAGTGAGAAGATCAGAGGTGAACAAAACAGAGAACTTGCCCTCAGAGGGTCCAGGCCAGAGTGGGGGAAACAGACATGAAACAAGTAAGTGCCTTGAAGAACAGGATAAAGGGACAGGCTTACCTGCTGTGCATTGGGAGGTCAAGGAAAACCTCTTTGAGGAACTGAAAACCAAAGGCGTAGGAGGAAGCAGCCATTTGAAGAGTCAGAAATGAGTGGTCCAGGCAGTTCCTGGTTGGAACTGGAGGAGGCATGTGTGGTTGGAATGCAGCAGGCAGGGGTGGGGTGTGACTTGAAAAGAGGTTAGAGAGATGGTCAGTGACAGAACACGCGAAAGGTGTTCTTTCTTAGGCCAGTGGAAAGCCGTTGAGCAGAGTGGTGGCTTATCCCATTTACATTTTAGGATGATCATTTTGGTAATTGTGTGGCGAGTGGCTTGGAGTGGAAGAATTAGGAAGGTACAGCACTGGACCTTGTGATACGGGAAGTTGGCTTGGATTAGGCCAGCTAGCTGGGACAGAAGGGCGTAGTGGCTATATTAGAGATACAGTTACTGAGGCGAAATGAACAGAACTTCCTATGAATTAGATGTGGGAAGTGAGAGATGCCTTCCAGATTTCTGGCTTGAGCATCTGTGTGGTTCTGCTGGTTTTGAGTGTCTTGGTTGGTTGTTTATCAAATCCACGGGGAACAGTAGTTTGCGTACTTACTAATCTTCTGTGATTGATTTACTTTTAGAGAATTTAAAGATATGAACAATAAATATTCTGTAAGAAACTCATCATTCCCGAGATTGTTAGCACATTCACAAGAGTAGGATAAGCAGCTTTTAGAGCTCACCCTTTAGCTTATCTTCACTCTTTAAGAGCATTAGACGCTGATGAGGAATTTCTTTCTGGCCTTATGTAGTATAAAATTTCACCAGTGATATTTTTATTTATTTTGTTGTTGTATCGCATTTACATTTCATCCTTACAATAATATATTAACTGAACAATGGTTTTTAAAATGGGTTGCTATTTTCACTGTCTTAGAGATGAAGGAATTTAAGATTAAGAATGGCAGAAACCAAGTCAGGATTAGAATTGAGCTAATCCATGGTATTTCTGCAATTCACTTTGTAAATTTTATCCAAAGTGTACAGTGAATGATAATGCTATCAGGTCACTCATCTCAAGGTTAAGTTTAAATAAGACTCCAGGAAGGAAATATTTTGACCTCCAACTTAAGTTTCCTGGATTGGAGACACTTTTAAATGTAGTTGTTATAATGTATTCATGGTCAACGACTTAATCATAGGGTATCCTTTGAAAAAGAAATAACATTTTTTCCTGTGGTCTTTATTGGTTAAGTTTGAATTCTTTTCCACAAAATAATAAACAATGATTTAAAAATGAGCATCGATTGAACGTAATATTCTAAGACAGTAAGCGTCTGCCTGAAAGACAAATGACATATTGGCCTGATCCACTGATGACATTCTTGGATGAGAAGTAAAAATGGGATATCAGTAGAGTGATATGATGCTGATTTATGGTCCTAGAGAAACCTTTTTTGGGGGAGTGGAGAAAGATGCATAATAAGGAAAGAATAAAAGAGACATAATCAATCAATATGAAATTTAGTCATTTGAGATTAGCAGATGTGGTCTACCAATCTGATTCTGAAAAGATTCATTAGTTTTATTAATTTTATATGGCATTATTTTCATTAATGGAAATAATAGAAAAAATAGAAGTTTCTGCCAATGTAATTATTTATTAGAGTATTTTACATCTACTGAATATAGGTTGATTTTTTTAAAAAAATTTCATTTTCAGCTGTTTAAAGAAAACCTTTACGGTGTAAATATAGATATATGTGAATAAAAAACTTAGCTTTACTTACTTTTAAAGTCTTATTTCAAGTAGCACCGATGTGTGGATAACCAATAATAACATAACGCTTTCCGTGGGCCAGGGACTGTGCTTACTGCTTTAGACACACCCTTTTAAACATCTCATCACAACTCTACATGATGTATTTATTCTCATTTCACAGTTGAGAAGATCCAGGCTTAAAAAAATTCAGTGTTTGACTATGAATATTTTGTTGGGAGCTTTCTAGGAAGCATGAAATTACATAACTTATTTGTACAGTTCACCAAGAAAAAGAGAAATAGTCTTAACTAAAAGAATTAAAGAGCATAAACAGAAGATACAAATTGCTTTTTTCTTTGATTTGCAGCTCAAAAGTAAAAGTACTTGTCTTCCTCACTGTAGGTGATGTTTTCTGAGATAAGTTAAAAAGTTACATCCTGAGAAAAGCAAATGGATTTTGTGAAAGCAACACATTTATACATGATAAACAGAACATGGTGTTCCAGACACCCTACAGGTCTTAAAAAGTGCACAGTGTAGTAGTCTGTTGACAGGCTAAGCATTTAGGGACACTCTAATGTAAAGGAAGAAA